ATATAATGATCCAAAAAAAATTCGACAATAATCAGGGGCCCTCTCTCATTCTAGAGAGGATCCTCTATCAAAACTTCAAATGTGCTTCTAAAAAACCAGACCTTAACTAGCTTTTTCCAAAAATCAAAAGTGAGGGAGAAGGTCGTATTTCTGAGAATAAGTTGTTCCGTGAGAGAGGAAGAGAAAGTTCACCTCCAAGTTTCCTCTCACCATACCTCATGGTGACATTATGTTGTTCCTGTTAACATATGTGCCACTATATTTTGCATCAGTGCAGCAGCAATATTGTTTTATCGTTGTTGGTCGCAAAGTCAGCCAGATGTTCAGACTGGATTTGGCTTTTTTTCCACCTATCGAGTCCTTCCCAAGGACCTGGGATAGGCAGATGTTGGTGTTTGATGGTGTTAAAGGTATCATCGCAGGATATAAGCTGTTCCAAGTAAAGCTGCCTTTTGCAATTGAATGATGGTGATTTTGTCAATGCTGATGGTCTTCAAGTGGTGCTCCAGATGTTTTGGGATTGCATCCAAGGCGCCTATTACTATTGGTACTATCTTTGCCTTCTTTTGCCATAGTCGTTCTACTTCTATTTTCAGGTCTTTGTCTTTTGTGATTTTCTCCAGTTCTTTCTCTTCTCTTCTGCTGTCTCCAGATATTGCAATGTCCACTATCCAGACTTTTTGGGTTTTCTTATCAACAATTGTTAAGTCTGGGGTGTTGTGTGGCAGGTGCCTGTCTGTTTGAATCTAAAGTCCCAGAGCACTTTAGCTTCTTCATTTTCTATTACTTTGTCTGTTTTGTGGTTACTATTATTGTTATTATTCTACATTTTTACAGAGCCTGCACTCAAAGTTACCCTTGGCTGTCAATTTATTCATCTATTTATATTTGTTCAATTTATATGGCTGCCCACTTGCCAGGCCACTCTGGGGAGTGAACAAGGGTTGAAAACATCAAATGCAAAGGACACTGATAAAGTAAGAAAACATCATAAAAGAAAACACACAACTCATATGGTTACACCTGGACCAGTATCACAGGGGAAGAACCAAGTCAGGTGCTATGACTATGCTATGACCTTAAGGTGACAGTGTTTAATTGAGGGGATCTGGAGTGGATACCATCACTGTCAAATATTATAGGGTGGAGAGAGATAACTAGAGACAGATTGGTCATCCAAATATCCAAGCCCTATGTCATGATTTCTAAGTTCAAAACACTCCCCAACACAGTAAATTAGGATTAAATTACAAGTGAGCTTTTTTACACAAACAAGACATATTAAAATGTACCTTTTGTGATGATTGCATTAAGTTTATCCTTGTATTCTGATTTAGCAGGGGAGAGGACATATAGATAATAAGACTATATGAAATTCATAAATTGGAAATAAATAAAACTACGAGGGCATAATCCTGATCTTATACATAGGAGAGAACTGGATTTTCCATATTCTGCCACCTGTTCTATGAATATTCTAATGCTCTTAAAATTAAAATATTATTTTAGTTGCATGGAATTCAATATACACAAATTATACAAAACCCATCTGCGAGGGTCCATATGTGATGCCAATTTCTTTAAACTTGGGTCAAAAGTGGAAGATTACCAACTTTTCTTCCACCATTTCTTAATTTGGCCATTTTTTAATGAAGGGAAAAAACTCTCATCTTTGACCTTCTTGCTTAATGCAATATGACAGTAGTGTTTCTTTTGTTATGGATATGCTTTAATTGTGTTTTAAATGATATTCTCATGCTTTAATAATCATTCTGCGTTTGTCTTTAATCTCCTTAAGTATTTTAATAGAACATTGAGACATAGGTTTAAAAATATCAGATGGCACCCAACAGCAATGTTACCATAAATAAATACAAACTGTGGCTTGTTATAAAGTATTCATTCATTTATTCATGCATATAAACAAACCTTTATTTTCACAGGCCATCCATTGTATGGGACCTTTATCATAATTATGTTGACCAACAGAAAACGTAAATACACGGACCTAAAACAGAAAAAAAAAAGTTACATAAGGATCACCTAAAAAGGCTGCTGTGAATATCATATGACTGAACCCTCCTCCTATTAACGGATTACCCTGTTTCTTTTCCTTTTAAATTATATTGCCTATACTTTTATCACAGTCCACTGTCCCCATCAGTAGACATCCTCAGAAATAGAATTATTTTCCTACCCTTTTCTAAGGAAGAGAGCCAGACTGGTGTAGTGGTTAAGGCACTGGGCTAGAAACCAGGAGACTGTGAGTTCTAGTCCCAAGGAAACAGATCGATCATAACCTCTATCAAAAATATTTATAAATTAGATATAGAGGTGTAGTATAAGTCACAGTAAAGGTCAAACCTTGAAATCAGACAGTGTGGGAAAGACGCAGCATCTTTTGCAACTAACAAATTTTAGTAAAAGTCCTAGGCTTTATTAAAAGGCAAACTTTGGTGAGTTGCAGCCCACGTCACCATATGCATTGATGAAGTAAGCTGCAGTTCACAAAAGCCTGTATCTTTTAATAAAATGTGTTAGTTGCAAAAGGTGCTACCAGCCTCCCTGATTTTTGGCCACCACATGCTAACATGGCTCTCCTCCTACAATATGAGGAATGGGGGTCTCAAATTGTCTGTTTTTTTCAGAACCTCCCTTAGCTAACACTTGAAGATGGCTTCCATATTATGGGGAGAGAATTTATATTGTCAGGTTCTTGGAACTAATCCTATCATCACTTGCTGACAGCCTGAGAACAAAGAGACCAGGATTCCCAGAACATGGATGAATGCAGTAAAAATAATGTTTATAATCCAGAATGAAAAGCAGTTGTGACACCAGCCAGGAAATGGAGCTATCCCTATGCCCAATTTGCATGTCCCCAAACGATGAGCATTACCAACCAAGGGGACCCATAGTTCTTATTTAAATTGAATACAATAGCTTCCATATTAGCCCAGCAGAGACATTTAAAATCATTTAAAGCCTCTATCCATGAAGGCTGCAAATATGGATGAACCAGGAGGTAGAAAGAAAAACAGGGGGACCAATACTAGTACAAAGCCAGTTGGGTGACCTTGGGCCAGTCACTCTCTTAGCCCTAGGAAGCAGGCAATGGCAAACCACTTCCAAAATCTTGCCAAGAAAACTGTAGGGACTTGTCCAGGCTGTTGCCAGGAGTCAACACTGACTCAAAGGCAATAAATAAATAAATAAAACAGGTGAGAAAAGCTTTTGGCCCTGCAGTGGCGAACTCACAGCCATTCACATAGCTAGATTTGAACCTGTATTAGCACCACTGAATTTGCTATCTTGCATGCAATAATAAAATTACAACTGAACAACGGTGAAGTGGAGAATATGATGTTTTACTTCTAAATCAACTAATATACAACCATCAGTCAATCAAACCTTATTTTGATCAAAGACCAGTATAGAACAAAACAATTAACCAACTGTTTAAAAGTAAAAGAGGACCAAACATAAAACACAAGCTAAAAGAATAATACAGAATGTTATTGTCACTATTGCTAGCACTGTAAGCTAGGACTAAAAAAACAGTATATGATTTGTCTAAAACTAAGACAAGCCAGTTTGGTGTCATGGTTAAGGCATCAGGCTAGACACCAGGAGATGAGTTCTAGTCCCACCTTTGGCACAAAGTCAGCTGGGTGGCCTTGAGCCAGTCACTCTCTCTTAGCCCTAGAGAAGAGGCAATGGCAAACCCCTTCTGAAATCTTGCCAAGAAAACTGCAGGGGCTGGTTTTCTCAACACTGACTCGAAGGCACCAAAACAACAACAAAAGAGAGATATGAAGCTACATTTCTAAGACAGAAATAGGTTAAAATAAAATAAAGTGGCATCTATCTATCTATATATACTTATTTAGTGTTGTTCAAAAGTTTGTCCCATTTTTACTGAATCGAGGGTTGGGGATTAGTCAGCGTGAATCTTATCTTGCTGGCAGCATAAGAGAATTTGGCAACATCCAGAGAGATGGAGTCCCTTTGATCAGAACACAGAATTTGTATGTAGAAAGTATTGGAGTGACGTGGGCATTTTACCAAGAGAGGGAAAATAAAATCATCAGCATTACGTAGTCTCAAAACTCAGCACTGACTCTATTCTTTTACGTAAGCAACGTTTGGATCTTTTGAACATATTCATTCAGGTGTTAATAGGAAAAGATATGGGGGGGGGGACTTTGCCATGAGAAAAAAGGATGGGCTGATAGTACAGCATCATTAAATAATGGCTGCCACCTAGTGGAAGAGTGGTTGATGAGTGATAAAACTTTGTAGTTTCTGTAAAGAAAGAAGACAAGTCTCATTTAGCCTTCCAAGTACATTATTTCTATAATTATTGGCTTTGGTTCTCAAAATTAATCTGTATTAGGAAGCCATCTGGAAGCAAGGTTGTTATGAAAATATTCAAAGATGTTCTCCATAACATTACAGTTGTTTCTACAGAGCCGTGGTTTCTACCCTTCTCTACTCCTCAAACTTTCTTGTGTTTTACCACCTCCCAATTTTCCCTAAACATTTCCAGGTTGATGTATCAGAGGTTCTTAACAACGGTTACCCAAGAAAAATAATGTGCAGAGCTTCTATTCAATCTCCCAAAATATTTTTGCAGCACATGAATTCTGAGTAGGGCTACATTTAGTGCAATCAGATTGCTGAGGGATGGATATGCAGAAGTGAAACTTGGAGGGTGGGGATGAAATCTGTTTAGAAGACAATGCCTGAGAAATTCTTACTAGCAACTGATGTGATTAGTAATGCTGCTACTTTCCCCTTCTCGACAATGAAAAGTTTGCATTACCATAGAGTTTAAGCGACAAAGATGACCTAATTGAATCTGAGCATTTCCCCTCCCACTGATTTTACTTTTCATATTGTTCCAGGACCAACCAATTACAAGCTTCTTACAGTCTCCAGAAATGGAATGGTATATAAATTATAGTAGTAAATGAATAATTAATTTAAAAATAAAAGTGTAATTTAGATTATCTGAAGATGTCCTTCATGTGTTCTGTTCTGTGATTCTTAAGCTACCTAACAGAGGGGTTCGATCCACAGTGTTTCCAAGTTGTTCCAGTTAATCACTCTTTTCTACTTCAGCTCCTTAAAATAGGACATGGTGTGACAACCTGAAGAATTGTCTGAAAATCCATTTCATATGCGAAGTATGCTCAAAAACCTCATGCATAAGAACATCTAACTGAAAAATGAAGTTCATTTATTGTCTATAAAAAAAAATGTTGGACTGCATTTGATGGCTTGGTCTGTTTACACTTAATTTTTTTTCTTCTGTTCAGAGATATTAAGGGCTGACAACAGGTCTTTATGTCTGAAATATGTCTGATATTAATACAGTGAAGAAGAAGCCTTGAACATAAACACAAAAAGATTGTTGTTGTTTTCTTACCTACTGTTGGTTTACTAAATTGATAAATGTCAAGCTGCTTGGAAATTCTGGGGATTGTAATTCCAAGACATCTGGAGGGTATTAAGTGGGGAAAAGCTCAATATAAAATTAATTGCCTCTATAGTCTGTTAAAGCAACCTCACTTCTTTTATCCACTCTGTTTATTCAATAGAGATGCGATAAAAAAGTTGACATATTATCCGAAGAACAAGCATTCATTTGCCGACAACTGTTACAATCCCAGATTGTAATGAGCTATGAAATAATAAACAACATGCAATTTTATTTTTTTAAAAAAACAAACAAACTTTATTTCCCAAATAAAATGTTTAACCAAAATCTGTTCCAGATTGAATGGGCAGGAAAAGGAATTTCCTATCATAATCTAAATCAAACCTATTTACAGATTTGAAATCTTACTCTGAAATCTTACTCTTATTATAACTGTTATTATTACTCAAAGTGTTCTCATTTAGTGTTCCTATAATATTGAAACAAACATAAAAAGTAGAAGATTTGGAGTGACATTCCAGTAACATGAATGCAAGCTCCAATCCTAAAACTGTTTATTCAGATATAAGATCTTCTGAATTCAAAGTGGCATAGTTTGGAATAGACTTGCATGGGATTGCATTAGTGATTATGCACACAATATCTCCTTTAAAAGTCATTCTTTATTAAACCCGTGAACAGAGAGCAAAGGACTATATATGCTGTCCTCATTCATTCCAGTCAATCAATCATCCACTCAAACAAATCTTTATTCTGGTCATTGACTAATCCAGAATGGGAAGATCAGAAAGGAAACCAAACATCAATATGAAAACATGTTGGCAAGATCCAGATAAATCTCAGGACTGGAATAATCCTTATTACCCAATGCTCAAAGAGTCTGATAGGGTTTTTTTGACAAGTTACAGCATAAAATCTGGGCACACTAAGAGTGTCAGTGGTATCTGCCTGTCCCAATAAAAAGGAAGCTATGCTCACGTCTACTAAGTGATGTGAGTGGCATAAATTGCTCAGTAAAATGATCGATGCAATAACATGTGAATGAGAATCTCAGTGTCCCCAGCCATAAAAACAGATCTAGTGTCCCATAAGGATTTATGAACTTTATAATATAAGACCAGTGAGGATGAAGCATTAAGGTGAGCCAATATGTTGCCCTACAGTGTTTTGATGAATAGAGCACCTGACTAGTTGGAAAAGATTAAAAAAAACCCCTCCAGGATAAATGCTAGCAGGCAACTTTGTTGGATCTTATTGACGCTCACAATCACAAGTTCTTTGTCTAATAATTTGTTGCACTTTTTTAAACCTCATAGGTAATAAGACATTCAAAGAGAATACGAGAAAAGCTAATTTGGATTCTACTTTTCTGTGCCAATTAGACTGAAAATTGTCAATCAAAGTAAGAAGGGTGAAGCCCACTGGGAAGAAATTTAATTTAAGCCAATAATTAATCAGGAAAAGTTGGGCTTTTGGCCTCAACCTTAATCAGGCCTGCTTCCAGTTGGCATGCTGAGTTAGGTATGCATGGTGATACCCATCTCCAGATCTGAAGAGGGATCTAT